AAGATAGAATGCATAAAGCACCAGCACAGGATAGGTTCTCAGAAAATAAATTCCAGCCCTTACCAGTTTGGCTCAGCAGCTGGAGCACTGGCCTGAGGACCAGAGAGTCCTGGGTTTGGTTCCCTCTAGGAGCATGTACCAAAATAAATAAATAAATAAATAAATAAATAAATAAATAAATAAATAAATAAATTCCATTCTTACTTCCCTGTGGGTGTCTACCCCTCACCCCACCCCAGATGCCAAGCTAGCCCCTGGACATCCCATGGTCATTGCCTACTTGCTGAAGCAAGGAGTTAGTAATCTTCAATGCTCTCTGAGTCTCTGCTTTAAAAACAATGGTTTCCCTGGCCCTGATCAAGTAGCTCAGTTGGTTAGAGCATCATCCCGATATGCCAAGGTTCCAGGTTCAATCCTGGTCAGGGCACATACAAGAATCTGCCAACAAATGCATAAATAAGTGGAATAACAAATAGATGTTTCAATGTTTCTCTCTCAAAATCAATGTTCAAAAAAAGCATAGGCACAAAAGAGGGCACACTCTTTGAGACAGGCAGATCTGGTTGCAAATCTTAGATCTGCCACTTACTAGCTATGTGACCACGGGCAAGTACATTAACCTCTTGGAAGCTCAGTCTCCTTGTCCATAAAATGGGTCAAGGAGATAATGTGAGAGAAGGCAAACAGAACTTGGCAAACAGTTAAGAGTCACTGAAGGACAATGATGATGATGATAGCACCAAGTACTTTTGAACTGTAGAGTAGCCCATCTTGGAGGCCCCTGAAATCCCCACCCCTATAAGGACTCATGCCTTAGCTCCAGATGCTCCCCACATTCTCCTTCTCAGTATTGCCCAGATTCCTGAAAAGTCTCAGAAGGAACCATTAAACTCACCTGGCACCACCTATCCCACTCACCAGGGACTACTTTATATCATAGCACATAAAAATAATTACAGTAATTGGTTCCTGCAACACTTTCCATCCCTGTCCCTTTTGACCCTTTCAGCTGTGAGGAAGATGATGGATATTTTCCTCCCCAATTTAGAGGGAACAACTGAGGCACAGTGAGGGTAGGTAGTCCATGCAAGGATTTGAGCCTGGCCTTGCTTCTGAATTCCCTGTGCTTTCCAGTACCACAAAAGTCTCAAGCAGTACTTGGAGGTGTAACCTTGCTGAGGTGAGAAGAAGGTATGGATATATTCTACCTACACACAGCAGGGAAGTCCTCAGCATACCTTTACAGGCACTTTGTGAGCAAACGGGTACATGTTAGGAAATGCAGTGTCTGGGAATGTTTGGAGATCACAGCAGACCACTCTAATGCTAATGAGAGTTAGAGGGCAGCATGGACAGAGAGTCAAATGAGGAGGAGGCCTGGGTCTTGGCCACGCGTGGGCAGCTGACATCCCAAGTAACCTTGGGTAAGTTTCTGACGTTTCCTTGATCCTCATTTTCAACATAAATGGGGGGGAAAAGGTAGATAGATAGAAGCTCAGTTTAGGCAAAAAGACATCTGCAACTCTCATCATCATTACTTTGGCTTTGAAATCGACAGCTCAGAGACCCCCCACCACTTTAAAAAATTTTAAAGACAAAACAGTATAACTTAATAGTTCTGCCAACTCTTGCAAAAAAAAAAAAAAATTAGAGAGCACAACACTGATTTTTTTTCTTTTCTCTTTCTCTCTCTCTTTTTTTATTTTTGGCAAAGGAAGATTCAGTTCCTGGAAATGCTTACAAAATAATTCCTGACACTGGGAGGAGATAGTTAAAAAGGAAGACGACGGCGACGAAAAACTATATACATATAGAGATGAAGGAAGACCATGGAAAGAAAGAATAAACAAAAGAAAGAAAAGAAAGGGAGAAAAAAAGACTTTAAAAGGCACCAATTCAAGGAACGTTATCAAGTTCTCAGCATCTGCGATTCAGAAGCCGCTCGCGGGTCGGGGCGACGCAGACTCCGCCCCTTTCTCGGGTGTCGGACGCTCATTGGTGGGGGCGGCCGTCGCCGGCCGGTGACTGCCCGAGGAAAGGTTGCCTGGGACACGCATCCCTGTGTGAACGCATGACGTCCCACCCTGGCGCCAGGCTGTCTGGGGCTGAGTCTTAGATCAACACAGCTGTGGGACCGGGACCCACAGCTGGGCAAAGGAGCGGATTCCTCAACAAAAAATAGGATTGTGAGAAAAGTTCTGAAACAAAAACAGTGCAGACAAAAGCCTTAATGACATCCTTTCATAAAAATAAAAAATGCAAGAGGGGGGAAAAAGCTGGTAAAAGAAGCAGAACTGGGAACAGAAAGTTCAGAGGCATTTGGAATAAGGCTGAGGCCCCACCAGCGCTAAACAAGTTGCAGAAGGCCTGAACTAGCCCTCCAGTCTGCTGTTGGGAACAAGAAGTCTTTGGGGTTCAAACTTCATTCAGTGTTCCAACCTTAACCTGCTTGTTTCAGAATTAGAATCTTAAATTAGAGAGGACCCTTAGAGGTCATTTGCTCCCTCCACCTCCAGTTTTACAAAAAGTGAGGCCCAGGAAGGAAGGAAATTTATCCAGGGCCACACTGTAAGTTATTGGCATGGCCAGGACAGAATTCTGCTTGTTAATTCCACTGCGTCTCTCTCTCTCGCTTTATGTCACACAGCTCAAAGGCATTTCAGTCTGAAAGCATCTTGGGAAATAATAAATGTGAAGGTGTTTTGAAAATGGCTTTACAAGCCTTAGGAGAACCTGTGAGGACCTGTGGACGGTGCACCTACCACACACCTGGCTCATGCTTGGTCCCTAGGCACCAAGGAGACCAACATCTGATGGAGAAAGTATGTCAAGTTCCTTGCTGAGAGGAGGCATTCAATAACTATTTGTTGAAGGAATAAGGTTGGCCTAATTAGGTCCATTTTATAAATTAGGAAATTGAGGCACAGAGAAGTGACCTACCCAAAGTTCACATCATTAGTAAAAGTGAATAGGGATTTGAACATAAATCTGCCGAGCCCTGAAGACCATTTGTCCAGAACCTCCTGGGCTTTGCCATTTTGCACAAACTATGGAAACCTTCATGGTAGAAAAGGAATGGGCTTTCTATTTTGTCACTCAGAAGTCCCCATAGCCACCATTTCCCCTTTCTATGACCAAATAGCTGGTATGCTCATCATTTCATGTATGTAGCATATATAGACTGACGTGTCGATTCACAGGTTATTTTCTTCCTTTTTCTTATACTAAGGAAACTGTCCTTGAAAACATATCTTTCAAAGACCCGTCTTGGGACACAAGCCCTGTAGTATGACAGCAAAGAACAAGATTGCAAGTCTGGCTCTGCCATTATTTGTGGTGTGACTTTGGACATGTTTTATAGCCCCTCTCTGCACCCTTTACCACCCTACACCTGCCTGTCCAAAATCATAAAGATTTAGACTTCTAGAGTTGGAAATGATTTAAAATAAATACTTAGCATCATCTCCCCATTTTATTCATAAGGCAAATGAGGCCAGGGTAGCTGGGCTTGTTCAAGATCACATGACATATTATTGGCAGGGCTGGGATGTTGCATCTAAGGCTCCTGATTTCCAGTCTCATGTCCTTTTTACTATGACTATTTTGAGACTCTCCTAGCTCTGGGCTCTCATTGTCCTGTTAATCAGTGCCACAGACTATAGAACTCTTAATTGTTTCCTGTGTTAATCTTGTCTTCCCAAATTGTGAGATTCTTGAGGGCAGGAGGCACTGCTTCCAACTGATTGATTAAGGAAGCAACCATTGGGGGATCCCACTTGGTCAGTGTCAAGATGGAAACCAGCATTTTTTAAGGCTGCTAATTCCCAAAAGTTCTCGGAAGTGATCAGAAGAGGAGCAGAGAATATTGAATGGAATGTCCTGTTGCAATAAAGGGCTTAACTTGCCTGTCCTCTGGTCCCTTTCCTGGGCTCTCAGATAGAGCTGGAGCTATTTCAGCAAGGCCAAGAATAATCAAGTCCAGGTGCCGTGCCCTTCCATAGCAGAAGGGGATAGACAATAGAGCTATGGTATCACTGAACTATTGTTTTTCTGCTTAGAGGTGTTTGGAGAGTAGGGAGAAAGGAGGAAGCAAGAGTTAAGAGATTTGCTGCCTGGGGGGGGGGGGCTCCTAAAAAGGTTATATAGAAATCATCTCTATCATCTCTTCCGTCACCCCCCTTCCCCATTCAAAACACTGTCCAAAATTATAATCAAACTCATTTCCAAAACATAACTGGGCATTTATCTGGCTCCTTATGCAGAGGGTGGGAGCTCTTTCCTTCCCCATGCAAAAAGCACCGATTCAAACTTCTTTTTCTTTTCCCCTGTTGCTCAAATAGTGTTTTTACTCAAAACCCCTTTCCCCTCCTCCTTCTGTAATCTCAGCGCCTAGCCCAAATCTGTTTTCTTCATTGTAACCTCAACTTCACCGCAATTAATTTTTTTCCCCTCTGGTCACAAGATAATTCCTGACGCCAGTGAGTCTGGAGGTCAGACAACAGCAAATTGGGGAACAAGGCGGCACTAATTCCTTACAAGTTTCCCTTGAAAAATCTTTTGCTTTAAAAAAAAAAGAAGAAAAGCTTCTTTACTGTTCAGGGATTTATGACCTCGGAAGAGCTGTGGGTTCGAACTAGTGTTGGGCTGTGGGTGGACTGGCAGGGGGCAGGGGAGCTCAAAGACCTGGGGCGTTGCCAGGAAAAGGCAAATTCTTAAAGTTAATAGTTTTAAATGATTTTTTGAATCCTTGCTTGCAAAGAGGCCCGCCTCTCCCCAGTATCAGCGCTTCCTCATTCTTTGAATCCACGACTCCGCGGTATTCGGCGTCAAACCGGCCTACGACAGCCTGTTTGCAATTTAACCGCGTTGTGAACGCCCAAGGTCGGCGGAGGCGGGCCGAGGCTGACTGTTTTTGCATAAAGGGGCGTGCCTTCTAAGCGGGCTCTATAAGTACCGGCTGGACGAGCTAGCGCTCATAGCAAGCTGCTATAGGATTTCTTTTTTTGCTCTTTCGTCCTTTCGGCACTTCCAGCTTCATTCCTCAATATGAAGGCGCTAAGCCCGGTGCGTGGCTGCTACGAGGCGGTGTGCTGCCTGTCCGAACGCAGTCTAGCCATCGCGCGCGGCCGCGGCAAGGGCCCGGCAGCTGAGGAGCCGCTGAGCCTGCTCGACGACATGAACCACTGCTACTCACGCCTAAGGGAACTGGTACCCGGAGTCCCGCGAGGCACTCAGCTTAGCCAGGTGGAAATCCTGCAGCGTGTCATCGACTACATCCTCGACCTACAGGTGGTCCTGGCCGAGCCCGCTCCTGGACCACCAGACGGCCCGCATCTTCCCATCCAGGTACGCATGGGCGTGCGCGGGAGCCGGGTTGGGGCTGAGCTCCAGGACTGGGATGCTGCTGGACCCCTCGAACTCCCAAATGACATGCGTAACTCTCACCTCTGTTCCTTCACTCTCAGACAGCCGAGCTCTCTCCAGAACTTGTGATTTCCAACGACAAGAGGAGCTTCTGCCACTGACCTGGCCGTCCTGGCGCCTTAAGGTGAGTATCTCCACCTTCTCGGGGGGCGTGGGGGTAAGGGCGCGGTGTTACTTAAACAGTAAACCTTAGGCCTTTTAAGGGATTACCACCCCCTGTTTAGAGAAACCAAGGCCAGAGAGGGGCAAGTAAATTGCCCGTGGTCATATCAAATGAATGAGGGAACCAGTTTTCATTCTGTGTGCGTTTCAACCTTAAACGCTCGTTGCTGCTGCCTTCCCCCAGTGGCTAAAGACCCAAGAAAGTACGCGCAGGTCCGACTAAATAAAATAGCTGTTCTGTTAGTACTTTGGAGTCGTAAAGGGAGCTCTGTCTCCCTCAGCCCCCTCCCAACTAGCGTCAATTCCAAGAGGGAAGGGTGGTGCAAGCTCCGCCTGTGGTCCTTTGGCGCCAACTGGGTGGGGGCAGCGTGGGGCGCGGAGTTATCAGCTGGAGGTAGAGAGCAAGTTTCCTCCCTGGCGCCGGCCAGTCTGCGGACGGCCCCCCGCCTTGACGCGCTCAGCGGAAACTGACGGCTCTCTGGTCTTCTTTCCTCCCCCGCCCAGAACGCAGGTGCTGGCGCCCGTTCCGCCTGGGACCCTGGGACCCCAGGACTCTTATGGCCCGAAGCCCGAGGGCATGGATGGGCCCCAGCCTCTCCCTGCCCACTTGACTTCCCAAACCCCTGCCTCGAGGCTGGATCAGGCGCCCGGGAGCGAAGGACTGTGAACTTGGGTGGCCTAAAGAGCCAGAGCTTGCTCTGGGCAGCAACTGGGCAACGTCACCCAGCCCCACCCCACCCCCAAGTTTTAAAGACTGTCTTTCAGAGTGTGGAGGGGTGTGTTGGGGGGGCGGGGGCAGTGGCTGCTCTCCAAACTCTGTCAAGGCAGCAGTAGAGCTGGTCTTCTGGTCTCCTCGGAAAAAGGCTCTGTTGCCCTGATTATGAACTCTATAATAGAGTATATAGCTTTTGTACCTTTTTGCAGGAAGGTGACTTTCTGTAACAATGCGATGTATGTTATTAAACTTTTTATAAAAGTTAACATTTTTGCATAATAAACGGTTTTTAAACGATTGTGTATATAATTTAATTACTTAAGTGCTAACACTCTCACAAGGCTGAATTTTGGAGAAATAAATGTCCTTCTTGGAACCTGGCAAAAGGAAACTTATTTATTCCCTTAAAAGGGAGATGGGAAAATGCCCAGCTAACACTGGAGTGGAGCGGGGAGTAGAAAGGGCTCAGTATGGGAGCCCTACATCCACTGAGGGTTGGGTGCAGAGACTATTCTGGCCCCGGCACCTCATTTCACAAATCAGGGACGGCTGGAGATGGGAAGTGACCAGCACAAACTCACCCAACAAGTTGGGAGCTCAGGATAGAAATCAGGTCTGAGTCCCAGTTCTTAAGCCCCTTGGGCTTTTGTGCTACACTAGCAGATGGCTTCAATGCCATTAATTATTCATATCTTTCTCAGGGGATGTGGAAGAGTGGAGCCTCACCTGGTGCTCAAACAGAGGTGGTGGTTCATAGACCCACTTCAGAGATGAATAAACGGGTCACTGGGTTTGGTTTCATTTCCCTCCTCACGCGCCCTGGTTTGGCTTCCTCTTGGGCTTTCAGAATTGGGAAACATAGGAGAGGGGTCTCATCCTTCAAATCCCAAACATTCTGATCAGGATTTGGTGCTGTTTGAGAAACACTGTCACCAGTCCCTCTACCGTCAGGTAGTTGAAGACTTTGACCCTGGACTGGGAATTAGAGGAAGAGGCCCTACAGCCTCATTCCTTCTGGTATTTCCTTCCCATACATCTCTATTGGGAGCTTTCCCTGTGAGCAAGCATCTTTTATCCTCACCCGAGGACATTTTTCCATTTTTTGTACAGATAGAGTGGGAGGGAGAGAGAGAGGAAGGGAGAGAGAGAGAGAGAAACATCGACGTGAAGGAACACATCGAGTGGCTGCCACCCGCACGACCAACCAGGGCCGGGGACAAAGTGCAACCGAAGTACGTGCCCTTAGCGGGAACCGAACCCGGGTCTCTCTGGACCGCAGGCCGATGCTCCAACCGCTGAGCCAAACCGGCCAGGGCTGAGCAAGCATCTTTATCTTTATTTCAGAAATGGAGAAACTGAGGCTCAGTGGATAATGGGTCTGAGCCAAATTATCAGCCCCTTGAGAGGCAGAGATGGAATTTTAATCTTAACTACAGTGACTAACATGGTTACAGACAGGAGCAGACTTGAGACTGGATATTCCTTGGGGCCAGGCCCCTACCCCATGTCACTTTGCCCCCTACCTGGCAGCTCCTCAGGTGGGTTCCATAGGCATCTGGCCTCACTTGATTCCTGTTTATGATATGATCTCATCTGTGTGTTGGCCCCTGGCATGAATTATTTTAATATTTCATAACAAACAGCTCACATCATCACCCTTTATGCCTTAACCCTGGTGAGCTTTCAGGGGTGAACAGGGGCATGTGGGGAGACAACCATCCTGTCTCTGCCGACCAGTGGTTCTCAACTGTTTCCTGGACTCTTCTGATGATCTGATAGAGGTATGAACACTCTCTTTAGAACATAAACACACACAAATATACACACACAACTTTGCAAAGCAATAGCAGATCTCCAATCCCCTGGGAAGCCCTCGGTCTTCATAGGAGGAACTCTTGCCTCAAACCAAGAGGAATAAGACCCAGGTTGGGTCTGTCTACCTTGGCTCATTAGTTAGGTATGATGTGCTGGCTCTGGGGACAGCCACACAAGGGTGCAAATTTTTGTTCTGCCACATACTAGCTGTATAACTGAGCCTCAGTTTTCACATCTGTATAAAGTTGCTGATCTTGTTCCAGTTCTGAGGCACTTGGCCCCACATTACACCATTAGTTGCAGTAGAGCCAGGCACTGAACTCAACCTTCTATATACCCTTTTTGTCACAGCATGCTGCTTCCTGCTTGCTCAGAAGTTTCAGGGCTGTGGAAGGCTAGAAAGAGCAAGCCACTTCACCTCTCCAACCCCCTCTCCTCCCTTGCCCAGCAGCTGGTGGTTCTGGTACTGCTGCCTCCCTGGACAGAAGATAATGGTGGGAAAGTTCTTTGAAATGCATCACACACCTACAAGGTATTATTAAGCTAATTCCAAGGAAATTGCCTGTTGGGTCTGCTGAGACTGAGCTGTTCAGGTGGCTGAGACAAAAGCTGAAACCAGCACACCAATTCATTAGTCCTTAGAGAGTGAAAGCAATTTGGCCCTAAGGTCGGGAAACTCTCAGAAAGAGGACAGTGTCTTCTGTCATAACCACCTATCCAGTACTTTCCAAGTGCCAGGCTCTACTTTATGTTTTTTCTAATCCTCATCACAATCCAGAAAAGTATCATTATTTCCATTTTATAGAGAAAACAGATCCAGAGAGGCTGAATAACTTGATCCACGTCACACAGCAAGGAGTAGTAAACCCATCTTCATGTAGCTTCAAAGCCCATGTTCTCACCTCTACTCCAGGCCAGCTCTTTTCCCTCACCATTCCCTTGGCCTGGCAAATATTTGGTCTCTAGTGGGTGCTTGCTGAAGGAAAGCCCTAAGGCCATCCTAGGTGTCCCTTTCATTTGTCAAAGGATGATGGTCCCTCTATTGCAGGTTTGTGGTTCAGAGTAGATAGCAGGCCTAAAGCATCTACAAGGCTCCCTGAAATACAAAGTTCACTATTAAATGCGTGTCTTAACAGGCTTTATCGCATCACTCGGATATATGGACATTTGGAAGGAATTTTTACTTTGTAAATAAAAAAATAAACAGGCAAAGTAACTTATCCACACAGCTCCTAAGCAGCAAAGCAGGGATTCGAATCCATGCCTGCGACATGGGAGATGGTGGTGCCCTTCCTACAAGCCAGTTCTAGCTCTTCCTAGCTGTGGATGCACCAGACAGTCTTCTGTCTGTCTTCCTGGCCTCATCACCTCTCATGGCCACCATTCTTCTCCATTCCCCAGGCTACACCCTAAAACCTCCTGCTGTCCTCTTTCCCTCACAGATCCCTCTCAGGGTCCCCTCTGCCCGCTCCCAGCCCAGCAAGTAGAGAGCTGCTCAACGACCGCTTCTAGCTGGCGGGGCAGGGGCGGAGCCTCGACCCACGTGGACCCGAGCCCGGCAGTGCAGAGCCGAGTGGCCCCGCCCCTCGTCCCGCCCCCGGCCCGGCGACCCGCGCTCCCCCCGCGGGCCCTGGGGGCCGCTCGCAGGTGTTCGCTGGCGCCCGGATGTCTGAGCTCTGGCTCCGCTCTGGCTCCGGCTCCCTCCGCAGCCTGCGGGCGGGGCTCCCAGCCCATCCGGAGTCTCGCGGCGCCCCCGCCGCTCTGCCAGCAGCGTGGCCTCCCGGTTCCCAGCCTCCCGGCCTGGGGGGCCCCCCACCCAGCAGAGTCGCTGACCCAACTGCTCTCCCGCTGCCCCCAGCTGCGCTCGGGCCGCTGCAGCCTCGGCGCGCCCCCACCCTGCTTCCTGCCTCGGCAGTTTTGCAGTTTTGCCCCGGCTGAGCGGCAGCCCTGGATCGCACCCCGTTCCTTCCTTCCTTCATTCTGTCAGGCAACTCGCATTCCTCGAGCGCCTGCGATGTGCCCCGCACAAGGCCTCTCCGACCTTGTGAGTGTGGCCCGAGGCCCACTGGGGTCCTCCGGGAAGCCTCTGCCGTCCACCCGTGTCCCTCCCCAACCGCCTCAGTCTTTCCTCTCTAATGTCCTATTTCACTTAGAGTTTAAGCTTTAATTGTTCTCTGATTATTTCTCCTGGTAAGGGTCAGTTAGTGGCTGGGGCAGGGGGTCGCTTAGTGACCACAATCAGGGGCCAGTATGAAAGAGTGAGGGGCCAAGTGTGGCCAGAGTTGGGGTTCAGCGTGGCTGAGGCAGGGTTTGGGGATAAGTGTGGGTAGAAGTTGGCAGCAGTCAGTGGCCCGGGTTAATAGACAGGGTGTGAGGGTTAGTCTGAGTAGCATCAGTGGCCAAGGTTAGTGAGTCAGTCTTTGGGTAGGGTCCGTGGACCGTCTGGATCAGGGTAGTAACTCACCCTGAGACCAGGATTTGGGGGTTGCCTTTGACAAGCCAAGTAAGGGGAGGGGGGCGCTGTAGCACTCTGAATTCAGATCCACATCTCTCCTTGGCTGGGGGCTGACCATAGTCTCTCCATACACCACCCAGGTGGTGGTGGAACTGACCTGCCGTCTGGGGACACTCCCTCTCCTCCTCAACACCATCCTGCTCCTGCTTTGTGCCAAAAGCTGGAGGCAGAAGCCCTCATTGGGCCAGACTGTGGCCAAAGTGAGCCCAGACTGGCAGTAACACTGGCCATGGTAGGAAGACCTTGGGCTTCCGCCAACCAAGCCTGGAGCCACCCATATTTAACAAGTAAGTTAGTGCTCTTCCCGGTACCTTGTGTCATTTGTTCATAAATCTAAAGTGTGTCAAGGACAGAAGGGCCCTAAAAAGGTCATAAATGTGATCTGAGAGGGGAAGGAGCCTACTCAGATACACAGCAAGTTGGTAGTCAAGAGAGGAGCTGGTGTGGCTCAGTGGTTGAGCATGGACCCATGCACCAAGAGGTTGCCAGTTCAATTCCTGGTCAGGGCACATGCCCAGGTTGTGGGCCTGATCCTCAGTGGGGGGCATGCAGGAGGTGGCCAATCGATGTTCTCTCTCATTGATGTTTCTATCTCTTCCTCTCCCTTTCTCTCTCTCTCAAAATTAATAATGAAAAAAAATTAAAATAAATAACATTAAAAAGAGAGAAAGGACTCAAATCCAAGCCTCCTCGTTTCCTATGTAGGGCTCTTTTTGTGATATTTTGCCTACCCTGAGCAGGGATTGTTATTCCCACTTTAGAGATGGGACAGTTGAGGCCTCACCCACAGCTCTCACAAAGGGACTGCAAGGGGCCTGCGGACTGCACAGCCCCTCCTCCCTTCCCCTGAGGATCTGGAAATGTGAAGTCAGAGAGTGGTGATTCCCTAAGGCATTGCTTCCTTGTCATTGTCACCCAGCCCCCTCCCTCCCATTCTCATTAGGAGCAAATGAAACAAGGGTGGCCAAGCATGAGTTGGAAGCCTGGGAGGGGAGAAAACAGTTTTAAAAAACTGCTGGGGAAAAGCTTAGTTGATTTCTTATGGAAACATATGGAACTCATTATCCTAAGTCGAGGTGGTCGCTGGCCAGCTGGCAGTTGGTTGGTTTGGGGCTAAGAGTGTGTGTTGTGTGGCAATGACGGTACCCAAGGCACAGCAGGCTCCCCAGAATAACCCGCCCGCTCACTGACCCCGGTTCTTCCTAAACTGAGTTTTGTTTTCAGCGTATGTCATTTCTAGCCTCAAAAAAAGGGGGTGGTGAGATGTTCACGACACACCAAAATATGGGATCTATAGGTTATACAGGGAGGAGATGGGAGCGTCAGGACAGACAACCACATGCCCCACCT